TTTTGCAACGAGTGAATTCGTCAAATCGCTGAAGATGGAACCGTGGTTTACAATCTTGCCACGTTCACAAATAAACATACAGAGTTGCCGCATTTACTAATAAACAATTTTAAAGTTTGAAATAACAGCGTTGCATTTGATAGGCGTTCCGCGACAGTATGTATTGAGACTTTTTATATGTTTATAAATTTTAATTGATATTTTTGCTTGTTTACAGATTTGGGATTCACTATCAGCACCTTCAATGCCCTTCTGCCCTCAGCTTCTTCATCGTCAGGAGCACCACCAGTACCTTCTACCCTCAGCTCCTTCATCGGCAGGAGCACCATGAGTACCTTCCGCCCTCAGCACCTTCAACGCCAGGAGCACCTTCAAAGTGTAGGTCCAACTTGTCAAATTTTTCAAAGTTGTAAGAAAACTTAATTTCTCTGAACCACCATAAATGATTTGCAACTGTTAATATATATCAAAAGAAAGGTAAACCGATTACCTTTCTTTTGATTATAACACCGTTAAATTTGCTTTACGTTTTCATAAAAACTTTGCAACTTTTGTAAACAGCTATATATAAGCAGAGGAATAGTGGTAAAATTTTGCAAAGATGTAACAAAACAGATTTTTTGTGAACTAGTGTAAATGATTTGCAACTGTTAATATATATTAAAAGAAAGGTAAATCGATTACCTTCTTTTGATTATAATATTATTAAAATCGCGCAACTTTCTTATAAAAATTTTCCAACTTTTTAAGCATCTATGTGCAAATGAGTAATACTAATAATAAGAAATTAAGCCAGCGCATATATATGTATGTAAAAATATATTTATTAATGTTAATTACAAGTTTTATTCATAATATTGGTTATTAAGTATGTATATTATGCATTTTGAAAATAAATTTTGCAAAATAAAAATCAAAACATTTTAGGATTTTTTATTTAAAGTTTCTAAGGTTATTTTGAATTCGCTGTGAAGAGAATGCAACCCTGAGCCGGCAGAAGGGGAAATGCTAGACGAGTGCAGCTATATGTTTTCCTTACGAAGTATCTGAATGAGTGCGACAGTGATGCAAGGCTCACACGTACAGGGGGAAAGTGGTGACAATCTGCACACCGCCCATACAAATGTCACCAGTTTTGTCACCAGTTTCGAGGATACCGAAACCCGCGGTTTCACCAGATTTTTCAACACTTTTGGTTGGCAGGGGAGAAGAGACGGGAAAAGTACATTCGTTTCACTTCCTTCACCCACGAACGAGTACACTTGAAATCAAGACTTGACGTGTCTGAAGGGGGTCTAAGCGTGGTGCACTCTCGCGAAGTTTCCCCATTCAAAAAATCGATTATCGCACCATAAAATATCGATAGTCAGGATAATAGATACGATATCGACCATTGCTATTAATAGGTAAACGGAGATGATTCGGAGATCTATATTTCTCCACTTGGATACTCCAGCTATACATAATAACGTCAGATTATTTACAACAAACTTTGGAAGATTGTATTTAAACCACAGGCTGGCGAAACGTTCGGCTGATGATGCTGAGCACTCCACCGCAGAGCAATTAGTGGCTAAGGATGAAGAAGTAACCTTAAAAGGAGGAGGGAATGCAGGCTCTACTCTGAGCCAAGCTCTTAATAAATATTTTGGTAACAATGACTCGAAAACCTTTTATGTGGGCGATTCATCGAAAGGAAAAGAAAATCTACCCAATCTTGGTATCGAGAGCATATATTGGAAGCGTATCATTGGTCTACTAGAAGAAATTTTACACGTCGATGAAGTGCGTCGGGCGCAGGCACGAGTTATTGACATCAAGGTAAGTGATTTGAAATTTCACAACGAAAGTGTGTTCCAATGAAAACTGAAAATACTTATAGAATCAGTTGCATAGTACTGGCAATAAGAAAAGAACGATACAGAGGAATGTTGTGGAATTACAACAAGAGCAAAGCAAGCTGTACAAAGATTTTAAAACAAATAGAAGTTCAACGCAATATATAGAACTAATACGAAAGGAATTCGATGTAAGTCTAATAAGAATGGCTTCATTACATACTATTTAGGGGTTGAGGGAAAATTTTCCAAAACGGACCCAGGCTTTTGAAAAAAGAAATATTAGGGAGTATAGAAGAGCTTTTTCAGATTTTCTTCAGAGGCTTATAGTAATTCGCATTTAAAGTTGAAAAAAATACCGAATTCAACCTCACTTTTTCCCTTGTACACCAAATGAACTGAAATGTCGGTGCTGCCATACATACCAAAAAATGCAAAAAAACAGAACTGAAACAATGAAAAAATGCACATAATGTTGCGCGATATTTTATTAAAAATTGTAATTATTTATAGCGCGATTTATCGAAGTATCGATGTTATAATAAAAAGCGCCACGGGCGAAAATTTTTATTACAAATCGCGCGATTTTTTATTAAAAATTTTCATTATTTATTGAAGTGTCGATTTTATAATAAAAAGCGCCGCGGGCAAAAATTTTTAATAAAAAATCGCGCGATTTTTAATTAAACATTTTTATTATTTATCGAACTATCGATTTTATAATAAAAAGCGCCACGGGCGAAAATTTTTAATAAAAAATCGCGCGATTTTTGATAAAAAATTTTCAGTATATATCGAAGTATCGATTTTATAATAAAAAGCCCAGCAGGCGCAAATTTTGAATCAAAAACGAAAATTAAGTGGTTTATAGTTGTATTTTATAGCTTCGAGAAGTATGGCAGCACACATTTGCTCTTACCGTTGGCCATTGTTATTTCTGTTTGTTTGTGAAAAGTGGGAAAAGGAGTGAGCGGATTTATAAACGCGTTTTACTTAATTAATTGATAAATATATATATTAAAAGTATAAAATACGCACGTGAACATTGAAGATATTGTATATCAACCAAAATACAATTGATAAGTGGCATTTTGTACAAAAATTTGGGGGTGGTAGTGAAGATTGTTTAACAACAAATTGCTTAAATACTATTAGCAACTACTTTGTGAGAGTGTTATATTCATGTAGAGAAAGCCTCCCCCAACATCCTGACCAAGTTTCATGACGAAGTTCCATATACTTTCGCTGAAATCTCGATTGGTTCCGTTTTGGAAAGCCAACCCGGGGTTGACTTCAGTGTACACCGACATGTGTGTGTTGTAGCAAAACTATAACCAATTTTCTAATGAAACTTTACGAGGATGCTAAGAAACAGATATGTTTACATAAATTCTCACTATTTTCACTTTTTTAATAGTATTTAAGTAATTTTTTGCACTTCCATTAGCAAATTTTCATATAAAATGTGCAGATATCACTTGTACTTGCATAAATGCACGATCTTTTGAATGTTCAAGTGTGATTTGTGTACAATAAATGTGTTTTAGGGGAAATTTTAGTAGACGCACGGCAAATTCTAGAAAAAGGTGGGATGAGGGTGGGTAGAATAAGACCCCCTGATTTCAAAAATACCCCCCTTTTTCTATCAACCCTATAGTTCTTATATAATTTGCTGTTAAAGTTTTCGTATAAACGATGAATAAGAAAGCAAAATAACATCAAACCTGGCGCTGCCAGACTGGAATTTTGAATAATAAAAGGGGATTTTTAATTCGGAATTATCATTTAGTAGAATTCTCCTTTCTGCGTAGGCAGCCTTTGGCCGCGCTTTAGGATTATAACCCTTACCAAATAGAATTAGAATAGAATTTGGTGTGCAAAACTGGGGCTACCGGCCCAGTGATGTATCATTGGGAAAGGACAAGGTAACTAGAATTTCCTTTCTTTGAGGTAAACCTGTGGTTGCTGCGCCAGTGATGTCTATTACGGTTATGATCAGGACTAAGACCCCTATCGATCCCAATATAAATTTTTCCAATCAGAGAAATGTGCGTATTCTGCACGTATTATTGCTTTCTTTTTATGTATTGTTTTGTTTATGTATTGTTTTGTGTCAGTTTGCAACCATGTGTTATTAGGTTTGTATAGTTACTTCTCCAGTAAAACATTGCAGCGAGAGCGTAAAAGCAAAATAGAGCGTAAAATTGAGAAGTGAAAACTAGCAGAAAAAGTTATTGAACACAAAACTAGTAAAAAATTGCAAGTGAAGAGTTGTTGCACCGTTTTGATATTCTTCTGTAAACATTTTACTATTTATAAATCAGTTTTAAACTCTTTGCTTCACACTCAAGCACTTACACAGTCAGTACATCATTAACGTTTTTATTTCCACTCATTTTACTTTTGTTTCTGCTAAACCAATTCAACAAATGGCGGCATTATTCTTCTTCTGCTAGCTAATTTCTGCTAGTAAAAATTTCACTAGCAAAGAATTTGCAAATTTTTTGGGTTATCATACACTTTTCCAGTAAAAATTTGCAGGTTCCAGTACAAATTAGTACTGGCTATTGGTTACTATACAAACCTATTAGGGGTATTCTCTGAGTCTTGCAAAGCCCTTGCATGGTGCACGGATTGCATGGTTTGCAAAGCTGTCCCATACGAAAACCGGTTTTTACCGTGCAATCCGTGCAATCTGTGCACCATGCAAGGGCTTTGCAAGACTCAGACAATACCCCTATTGTAAATATGTGTGCAATTCAATGTAATTCTCAAGTCAATAAAAGTTTAATAAAGTGATTTATTTACAAGATAAAATAAAATAAAAGTGTGTAAAGTATTAAGTACAGTGTTATGTTCATTTATATATATGAAAGTATGTGACAAATGTACTTTTTGTTAAGGAAATCAAGTGGAACGACTTAAGAAATTTTCATTCCCACGACAGCCGGTTCTACGTACCGGAATGACTCGGGTTTCACCCGACCAAGGGCTGTTGTGTCGGCGATGTAACCCCGTTTAGGTCGGCGAAGTATCTCAGAAGTTGTCCGTCCATAGGGCTACATTCACTACGTATTCTCCTACTCAGGGCTGGCATCGAGTCGAACCCTGGGCCAGAAACATACACCTGCTGTGTATGCCGGAGACGATTACACCACAACTCCACCTCAGTCAAGTGTAATGCCTGCGAGGGGTGGAGTCACCTCAGAGTCTGCTCGGGGCTACGGACACATAGACAGTGGACCACGTCGTACGTGGCCCCCTGTTGCTCAAACAGAGCAGCCTCCACGGCTAACCACGGTCCGCCCGAGCAGCCCCACACACACAGCAGCCACACACAGTCACCACAACACAACAACATAATAACACCACAGACCGTACCACAGCCACTACAGACCACATAACACACACAACCGCACCACCACCCACACGCCGCCGCCAACAACTCCTGGTTCCCCCTACAATCTGCACGGTATGTCAGACCAGGATATTCCGTAATGTGACATCAGTCAAGTGCAGCACCTGCCTTGGCTGGTGCCACTTTACCACGCGAGATTGGACTGGGAACTTCGAGGGCCCGTGTTGCGCTGCTCGGTCGCAGACCCCAATTGCGACGCCCCCCACCACCACCACAGGGCGGCAATCACCTCAGCAGCACACACAGCCAACGGCGGCAAGAACATACACTTCACTTACACCCCACATCACGACACGTCGCCCGAACCACATGAAGCTCCTTCAATTCAACTGCAACGGGCTACAGAGCAAGATTGAGGAGATAACCGTCTTCATGTGTCGGCATGGTATATTGATAGCTGCGGTCCAAGAGACGAAGTTGCACAGCAATTCAACTTTGTTGAATTGCGCCGGGTACAACGTGCACCGTCGAGATCGCGAGCGAGATAATGGTGGTGGCTTAGCGTTCATCACGCACCACACCGTGCAGTATCGTCTTACCCTACAATGTCAGGGCATCGCTATCCGGTCAGGCGATGTCGAGCTCGAAATATTGAACATATACATACCCCCTGTCACCTGCTGCCCGGCAGGATATCACCCTGATTTAGGTGCGCTCCTCAGAGGTGAAAACCGTATGGTAGTAGGTGACTTTAATGCGCACCACGATCTTTGGTACTCAAGCCTGTCAAACGATCGTAGGGGAACAGACTTGGCTGAGCAGATAGACGATTCGACATTCTGCACAATGAACGACGACGCACCCACCAGGATTATGGGTAACTGCAGTAGCTCGCCAAACATCACAATACTCAGCGCTGGTGTGATAAACAGCATAACGTGGCGACCTATGCTGACTCTAGCATCAGACCATCTACCCATAGTCATCTGGATAGATAAACCAACCGACTTTGCCTCCGCCAAACACCGGACCTATATCAACTTTTCTAAAGCTGATTGGAAAGGTTACGCGGAGTTTACCGAAAACACCTTCGCAGCGCTCCCCACACCAACCGACGTCCATCTTGGTGAACGTAAGTACCGCATTGCTATCACTGCTGCTGCAGCTCGCTTCATACCGGCAGGATGTATATCGGACCCACGTCCAAACTTCCCTGCCGAAGCGGCTGTTCTAGCCGATGAGCGTGACAGCCTTCGTCAGGCCGATCCCGGAGATCCCCTTATCAGAGATCTCAACGCGGAGATTCGGCAACTTGTAAACGTACATAAGCGGAAGAAGTGGGAGGAGCATCTGAAGACTTGTAATTTCACCTCTGGTGTGAGCAAGCTTTGGTCAACCGTGAGGTCATTGTCTAATCCGACGAAGCACGACGACAGAGTCGAAATTTCCTTCGGCGACCATGCCTCGTCGGACCCGGAGCGATGCGCGAGCTATTTTAGCCGGCAGTTCATACTGCATCCTCCGGTGGACAAAGCCAAGCGTCGAGTGACCGGAAGGCTGCACAAACTGCCAACAACTTGTGCCCCCCTTGCTTTCACTTGCGGTGAAGTTCAGGTGGCCATCGGGAAGGCGAAAGCCTCCAAAGCCATGGGTCCCGACGGAATATGCATGCTGATGCTGAAAAATTTGGGTCCTGCGGGGGTAGCGTACCTAACGGAGGTCCTCAACTTGTCAATGGCCACTCTCATCATCCCAGACATCTGGAAAGTGGGGAGAGTGGTCCCACTGCTCAAACCGGGGAAACCTGCCAACAAAGGAGATTCGTATCGTCCG